TGGGCCGCGCGGGCCGCGCTCGCCTCAGCTGAGTGCAGCCTGCGTTTCCCAGGGCCCCTCAGTTCCCCTGTTAATTAAATCAATTCATTATGCTCAGATCTGATTAGCGGCCCTTCCCCCCTTTGAATCAATTATTCAATACACAAACATAATTGCTTGGGCCAGAGGTGCCCGCCATTAGCTTATTTAACTCCAAGGACACTAATTACCCGCAGGGCACGGGAACTTTTCTCATTAATTCTGACAAAACACAAAAGCACAGCCAGAGTGTGTGCGTGTGAGCGACCGTGTGCGTGTGTGTGCGTGTGTGCGTGTGTGTGTGTGTGACCGCATGCCAGAGTGAGGGCTGCGCGGGGTGATGAGCCGCTGTGCGAGCCAAAGACGAGCCTGGGGGTGGCGGAATGTGTTGCGATCGCGGGTGGGAGTTTGAGTCTGTGGCCGCGCGGGTGTGAATGGGGGATCCGTGCGTGTGATGGTGAGGGACTGCATGAGTGCATCGGGCTGGGTGTGGCTCTGGGTCTGGGGACTGAGGGTTCGGGGTTGAGATCCAGCACAGGAATGGTGAGATTGTGGGTGTTTCTGTGCGTGACTTTGTGAACGTGACTCGGTGGCTACTGTGGTGAGCGCCCCATCTCCTTTCTGTTTTCATAACTGCCCCAGCATTGCCCGCTGCACACTCAAGCCCATGGGGTGTGAGTGCAGAACACTGAAGAGAAAATGAGAGGATCAGGAAGCGGTGGGTGCTGTTTATGCACTGGTTGGGCTATGCTCCCCCCTCCCCCGCCAACCCCAACTACCCCCCCCCACTCCGCCCCTGTTTTGAACCCCAGGTTCCCATTGCCCCCGTCCTTGGCGCATCTCGGTACTGCCTCCTCCTCACCCCCGCTTTTATCCCACAGCCCTCCCAGCCTCTGCCCCTATTTCCACAGGTGCCTGACACCCAGGCACACCCCCACCGAACTCCACCCACCCTTTGCCTAGTTCTTCCCTCCTGTCTGCAAGGCTGAACCGAGGGTGTGTCTGTGTGGTTGACCAACTTCACATTTTACCTCCCAGGAAATCTCTATTGAGAGAGAGCCGGTATGAGAGCCCACAGAGGCAGGGACACAGAGGGTAATTGATTCCCCCAAATTAGGTTTCTGCTTTCTAAAGACCAGTATTGTTCCTGTTCTCAATGTGCACAGAGGTATTGAAGATTTCCTTTTTGTTTCCTCAGGCAATGAATGAGCTTAATCCATTTGGCTTTATAAATCAGGAAACTAATATTCGCTCCTTCCATAGCAGCTTTTTAAAAAATTTAATTGGTGTGGGGGGGGCACAGTTTGTCACCCTTATGCGGTTCCCAAGCCACCACTTATCAAAACACATTCTGACTGAGGGGCGGAGAGAAGGCTGAGTAGGGGTAGGGGGGGAAGGGGAGGCTCATCCTGATTCTCCCTGCCCTCATCCGTCCTTGCATGTGGACCCACACAGTATCTGGAAAAGTTTGTGAAATGATTGCATTATACTCAATTTGGTGAAGGAAAGGGGTGTGTAGAGATGCTCTTCAGAATCATCTTCCAAATCTGCTACTTGCAGTCTCCCACCAGGGCTGAATGTAACCACGCTACGCCCAGGGTTGGCAAATCCTCCTCTTCACTGTCCTGTAGTAGCCATAGAGTCACCTTCCTGTTGCCAGGATCTGACCCTGCCTCACTCCTTCTCAAAAATCTTCCATGGATTTCCAATGTCCCCGTGGCAAAACCCTAACTACTCATCATTTCAGGTCTTTCACAAGATCTGAAGAAGCCTTTGCGACCACCACTACCCCTTGCCTCAACTGATATTTATTGATCTCCAGCAACAGTCTTTACACCCCTGCCCCACCTCTGGACTGCTTTGCCGTGATTGAACACACCCTGAATTGCAGGTTCTGGCTCCTGTGACTCCTCTCATGGGATCCCTGTGCTTAGAAAGCCCTTATCCGTTCCTCCAAATCCTCTAAGGAAATGTTCTTCTGAGTGGGTGTCATTGTGTGAAGGCTGGATTGCTGAGGGGTATGTGGATTATTTAGTTGAGGCCTGGGGGATAAGATCAGCCCTTGAGGGGGGTGTTTCAGCCCTCCCCTGGAGCAGGAGGAGAGATATGGAATCAAGACACCGGGTCACTAGAGAAAATGGGAGCTGCAGAGTCAGGGGAAGGAACTCTGCTTTCCTGAACTTTAGATACAAGAATGGTGGCTCAGAAAGAGAGACACTTGAGCATCATGTTTTTCCCCCCAGGGTCTCAGACGGCATGGGCCAGAAGCCAGGCACATGCTTCTTCTGGGGTCCCCATATTTAGAGCGCCATACTGTTTAGTTCTCTGTGTAGCAAGGCATGGCCACTGCCTACATCAGTGCCGGCTGTTCCCTACACTAGGGCATCTGGCCAAGGGGGCAAGAGGGGGCTGAAATTCTGCCCTCTCTCTGCTTTATAAGCCATGTGCCTGGTGTAAGCCGCACTCACCAGAGAAAGCACTTTTTCTAAGTTGTGCAAAGGCACCATGTGGGCTAGCATGGCCCTGCAGTTGGGAATCTTTGCCTGGCTGGAGTTCACACCCACAGATGCCAGCCTGAGAGGTCACCCAGCCACCCCTGCAGCCACCCTCCCTTGAACCAAGGATCTGGTGAGCTCTTAGAAGCCCAGTCCTCTGGTTTTCATAGAGAAAGAGAGTGTTCAGAGAACTTAATCATCACGGAGTGGTCAGGGATACTGAAACACAAGTCCAGCCCCACTTCTGAATGTATATGGGCCCTAAGCCCTGGTGAAAGACACTGAAATCAGTCCACAGTGAGATTCGGACATGGACAAACCCACCGTAAGGACCGAGGTCCCTAACAGGGGCCATGTTGGAGGGGACAGGATGAGGTTTCTGAGAGGAGATCGTCATGAGGGACCAGACTGAACTGCAAGGCCCGGAGTTTGGTGGGACCTCGTAGTTCCAGGTACAGTGCTAAGCTGGGCCTGGCGCACTCCCAACCCGCGCCCCAGGAAGAAGAGAACAGTAGTACAAATGAGGAACCGAGTCATTCCAGGCCCACAGCTTTGTGATTTGAGCATGCCTTTTCCATAAACCAACATGTTCTCTGAGTTTTCCACATTCCCCCGTGGACATTCCCTTTCATCATACTTATTGCCAGTTCTCTTTCATCCAACTGTTGGCCTTCCTGAGGCGTGGGTCCAAGGCCTTCTTATGATACCTTCCTGTGGGGTGCCATCCACGGTTGTCCTTGTGTGTCACCTGCACTCAGGATCTCTCCCTTGACTCCTACTCCAGTATTTCCAAAGGCCCTCTTGACATCTCCACTTGGATGTCTCAAAGGTGTCTTAAATTTTGAAATTCGAATTGAACTCTTGATATTTCTTCCAAATCTCTGTTCATCTTGTTTTAGTAAACCAGCCACTCAGTTCTTAATACCAGAATTTCCCTCAAGGCAGCAAAAGTGAAAAAAAAAAAAAAAAGGGCACCTGGGTGGCTCAGTCGGTTGAGCATCTGACTTCGGCTCAGGTCATGATCTCATGGCTTGTGGGTTCGAGCCCCACGTCAGGCTCTGTGCTGACAGCTCAGAGCTTGGAGCCTGCTTCCGATTCTGGGTCTCCCTCTCTCTCTCTCTCTCTCTCTCTCTCTCTCTCTGCCCTCTCCTGCTCATACTATCTCTCTCTGTCTCTCAAAAATAAACATTAAAAAAAATATTTAAAAAGTACAAAAAAAAAAAAAGAACGAAAGAAAAGAAAAAAAAAAGACAAAAAGTAAAGCTAAGTATATTAGTTTATTACACTAATGTGAAGAGGCTGAGTTCTTCTATCAAAAAACAGATTGTCTAAGTTGAAAAATAAAATACAGTCAAATGCTATTTATAAGAAATACTCCCAAACAAGGTGACAAAGAAGAGTAAAAATAAAGCCAATGGGCAAAGATATACCAAGCAAAGATACACCTCTCAAATGCACGCAGGGAGGGAACAGAAACAGCAATATTCATAGCAAACAAAGCTAACCTCAAGGGCCAAAACATGAGCTGCTC